GCAGGGAAATGGAGGGAAACCCCTTTAAAGGGCTGAAGGGGGTGGAGCTGCGATGCGCCATTTTGAAAACAGATCTTAGCTCCAGGCCGGCTGCCTATAGTAACAAGCAGAAACTCACCCACAGCCACTCCACATATTCTACTCTGAACCGGAGAGGATCAGGTTTATTTTTAAACTCCTGCTTAAAGCGGAAAACTCCAGGAACCACAATAATTGTGCTGGGAATGAAGACTGGTGCTCCCTTTAATGTAGGAGCTTCCTGGTTTCCATGCGGGAAAGAACCTCGGATAAGACCCTCCCTTTCCCCCCCCCCCCAAAAAAAATTCCTTTAGGGTAAAGGAGAATCCAGGTTTGTTTTTTTCTTCCATGGTTTTAAGACTTCCAGAAATTTTACATCTTTAGTTACATCGCTGTGGCCCGCAGCTCGCCCATCCAAATGATTTCCTGCTACATAAGAATTCAAGAGCTTCTTTAATCTGAGTATGAAGACACTGGATGGGACACAGAAGAAATGCGATCTTTTCTGCAAGCGTTGTTCTCTAGGGAACTACACTAACCGCAGCACTTTGGACTTTCATACGCTTTGCGTGTATTCAAAGTACTTCTCATACATTATGTACAACACAGTAAGTGCGCTGTAAAGTGAAGAACAAACCAAGTCAATGAAACGCCTGAATGCCTTGGAGCAGCTAAATTCAAATATGCATATGGTGAGGGATATAGCAGACACAAAACACCCACGCACGCACACAGCAGCGATACTTACCATTGTGACGTGTTATGCCGAAAGTGACAGTCTCAAAAAAATCTTGGACCTGAAGATTTACAACCAGCCTAAGAATTCATTGCTGCATTTTACGACTGCCTTTTTGGAAACTAAGACTGCACGATTAAAAAAAAGGAAGGTTCCTGCTGCGCTTGGCTCAAGCACAGGTCTGGCCCATTACATACTCGCTTCAAAACGGCAATGGAAAGTGCCAAGTATACCTAGTCTAGGATTACTAAAAAATGTTCCACTACACGACTCTAAAAACGGTTGCTAAGAACACGGCTAAAACTCAGTACGAGCAGCCTGTTCAACTGGCGACCCGTGAAGCAGAACTTGGGACTTTAAAAGTACCAGTTATATGGACAGGGACAGGCTGCAGGAAGGCAAAGTCAGAAGGCGAAATAGGATGGCCTTCATAAAATCAGAGGACCTCTGATTCACAACACCGCCAATTCACAACACCTGTTTTGTTCAAGCAGAAGTCGATTGTGAAGCAAGAGACCAAATTTCGAAAGGGGAAAGTAATATACTTGATTGGTACGATTTACCACCAAATAAGACACCGGCTACTAGTGACCAGTGTTCCCTCTAAGCTGAGTTAGTGTGAGCTAGCTCACAGCTTTTTAGCCTCCGACTCACAGATTTCTGTCTTAGCTCGGGAAGGATGGCTCCAGGGCAAACTAATTTATGCAGCAGCCAAATTGCCCGCTCAAAACTTTAATGCCAGGAGCTCACAAAGTAGAATTTTTGCTCACAAGACTCCACAGCTTAGAGGGAACATTGCTAGTGACGTATCCTGGCCTGCTAGATACTTCAAAATCAGGGGAGATTTCAAGTCCTAGACAGGCTTATTGGACCTCTGGCTCCCCCACCACCACCACCCTGCCCGACCATCATACATTGTTGTGGGCCAGAGGTGACGTCTGCAAAACTGAATGCTAGAAGACTCCAAATATTCAAGGTGCTGGCTATGACCTTTAAAGCCCTTCACGACTTTGGGCCCAAATATTAGCAAGAACCGTCTCCTTCCATATGTCCCTGTGCACCTACTACAGTCATCAGGCAGTCACCCGTTAGCTACTCCACCACTCAGAATGGCCCGTCTGGCATCGACCAGAGCCTGGGCCATTTCCTTCGTGGCTCTGTGGAATGGGCTTCCTGAAGAGGGGAGTGTCCGGGAGGTGCTGCAAGGCCTGTTCGTTTCCCGGGGGGGGGGGGGGGGTAAG